CATGAGAGAGAGACAGACATCTCTGTCTCACCACGCCATGATCCTCCCTTCAGTCTCCCAGGCATCAAGCATCACAAGCATCACAAGCATGCCTAGGCACACACTCAACATGTTCAGGTCAACCTGGGATCCAAACCCAAGCCTCCAGTATTGCTTATGGATACCCTACCATCTATATCATTGAAGCTGAAACCTTTTAAATTTATTTCTTTTAAGTTATATTTTTGCTGTTTTACTGGTAGAAGTAATTCAAAATTTATGTTGTTGAGAGATAGCTTGGGAATCACTTGAAAAGTTATCATTAATAAAGCTCATTTAAGTTTTATTTTCTAAAGGCAGATAGATGAAACAACTGAGGACATTTGCAACTATTCAGTGAAGGATAGCTAACTAACTATTTCTTCTCCTGTCCTCCAGTTTTCCATATATTTTAGGAAAAGTACATTTTAAGAGTTTTACTGTTTGGTTGGCAAATCATAGAAGGACAAATCGATGACTACTTTGTAAAAGTAATGTATTATCTACAAAGTATAGACATCGGTTAAGTCTATGTACCTTGACATCATTTCTATTTATCACAAAATTAACAAGTGACTTAGAAAACACTTTTGTGAACTTAAAATTAGAGTTCATGGAGCCAGCTCTGTGATGCAGTGGTATACACTGATCAAAAGAAGTCAGATCCTGGGACCAGCAGATGATGTAATGGTTATATCACTGAACTCCCACATAGTTGACCGCGTTTCGAGTCCCAGACACAGCAGCTTAAAACACTCCGGGAATGGGAACAAGCAATTAGCGTAATGGCTATGTTGCTGTATTCCCACGTAGTCGACCGCAGTTCGCATCCTGGACCCGGTGGCTTAGAACTCACGCCGGGCGCGTGTGCATGCATGCCCAAGATCCCAAGAGGAGAATGGAGGAGAAGGGATTGCGGCGTGACCATCCCCCCTGGGGGGTGATTTCTCGCTTTCTGTCTCTATGTCTCTCTCTGTCTGGCAAGAGCGCACGCACCCTATAGCGAAAACCTCTAAAAAAAAAAAAAAAAACCACTCCAGGAACCATATGCGTTTGTGCCCAAAATCCCAAGAGGAGAATGGAAGAGAAGGGATTGAGGCATAACCATCCTCCCTAGGGGGTGATTTCTCACTCTCTATCTCTCTCTGTCTCTCCAGAATGCACATACTCCTAATAGTGAGACTTTTTTAAAAGTCACTCTTAAAAAAAAAATAGAAAAAGTCAGATCGTGTATGGAAACCCCATACAAGTGCCCTAGGTCCAATGGGTTAGAGGACTGAAAGAAGGGAATTGTGATATGACCAGACACTGTGGAGAACGTTTATCTCTGTCTCTCTCTCACTTACTCTCACATACATATGCACATACATACTATCATAAATAAAAGGGAAAATTTAATTAGATAACTGATCAAAACTGCTTTGAAAGAATAAGACAATCTAGAAATATAAATTTTTAATATTCAGGTAGATTACAACTCAGACTCTTGATTTATGAAATTCTAGTTAAATCCAAGCTTAGCATTATGAAATTATAACAGTTGTAGAACTATTGGAATACCAATGACATAATTATGTTCTTTAGAAAACAGAATCTCAGGGGACCAGCAGATGGTGTAATGGTTATATCACTGGACTCCCACATACTCAACCGTAGTTCAAGATCCAGATCCGGTGGCTTAAAACTCACACCACGTGTGTGTGCCCAAGAGAAGAATGGAGGAAAAGGGATTGCAGCATAGCTATCCCCCCTGGAGGGTGATTTCTCGCTTTCTGTATCTTTGTCTTTCTCTGTCTCTCTGGTGAGCACACATATCCTGTAGCAAAAATCACTCTCAAAAAAAGAAAGAAAGAAAACAGAATCTCAGACATCATGAAAAAAGCATAAATTTTTATGCTCTCCAAATACTTTCGTGTCTTATTTGTATATGAGTACACTTTGTACACATGCAAGAATTAGAAATACTTTCATATTTCAATCTTTAAGTACTTTTTCAACTGGATGATATTATTCCCATTATACAGATTTTAAAAAGTTATAAGGTCGGGGAGTTTAAGTGGATTTGCACATGAAGACTCAAAATTTAGTCTTCATCTGTAAGCCCAGCGTGGCCTAAATTCAGGGGAAAATATTCTATTAGAAATATTAGACTAGTAGCCCAGCAGGTGAGCATCATGATTGTGGCACTGGACTCCCACATGGCCAACTGTGGTTTGAGTTCCAGACCTGGTGACTTGAAACTCATGCCAGGCACATACGCCTATGTGCCAAAAATCCAGAGAGGAGAATGGAGGAGAAGAGATTACAGCATGCCCATCTGCCCGGGGTTGATTTCTTACTCTCTTACTTTCTCTGGCAAGCACATATGCCCTATAGCAAAATTAAATCTCTTAAAAAAAAAAAAAAAAGAAAAAAAAAAAAGAAAAAGATAAAAAAAGATTAGCCTGGGCCAGCCATGGTGGTACAGCAGTAATGCAATGATCTGTAATGCAGAAGCCATATGGGAAGGTCACAGGTTCAAGTCCTGAGGCCTCGTTGCACATGCCATACACATACACATGCCCGTGATCCTGACTGACTGAGGCTGGAGGAAGGATTATGGCATAAAGACCCTGTTGAGAGTGCCTATCTTTCTGTCTGTCTGACTCTCTCTGTCCTCTTGCTCTCATGAAAGAAAGAAATAAGCAAAATATTTAGCATAAAGTAGACAGCATTCAGGGGCCAGCAAGTGGCATTAAGGTGTTGGACTCCCACATGGCCAACCACAGTTCTAGTCCCAGACCTTTTGGCTTGCTCTCACATTCCCTCTCTCTCTGGTCAACTTAATAATAAATTAAATTAAATAATTCTAAAAAATAAAAAAGATCGGTATCGCCCTGCTCAGCAATATTGACATCACTGATCACTGGTAGCCTGTTAGAAGTTTACATTTCCTGGCCCCTAGCCAGACCTATTAAACCAGAAACTTTAGGGATGGGACCTGGAAACCTTTGTTTTAACAATCTTCTGGTGGATTCTCATGAACCCTAAAGTCTGAGGACCACTAGCATTGACTTTTCTTTTTCTCCAACTCATTCATTAAAATGTCACATCCAGCACCATCTTACTATATCATTAGTTCTGAGTTTATTAATGTATATGATAAGGACCTGCAGGAAGAGGTAGTGGGAGAAACCGTGCACTTAGCCATACTGTAGACTGTATGACCTGCAAATTTGTGCATTCAGCAAATATTTCTCAAGACAGTGCCTCATGGTGCAGTGGAAAGTGCATTAAGCTTTGCAGTTAGACATATTAGGGGTTGACGCTTAGCTAGTCACCTAATGAAAGAAAACTTGGACTGTGGAGATAAGAAATATTGGTCTTTGAAATCTGAATATATGTTTGTGGCCCAATAAGCTGAAATGTTTTTGGTTTTGTTTTTGTTTTTTGAGAGATTTTTGCTATAGGGCGCGTGTGCTCGCCAGAAAGACAGAGAGACAGAGAGACAGAAAGCGAGAAATCACTCCCCCCCGCCCCCGCCTCCCGCCGCCAGGGGGGATGGCCAGGCTATAATCCCTTCTCCTCCATTCGCCTTTCGGGATCTTGGGCACACACGCACACACACCCGGCGTGAGTTTAAGCCACCGGGTCTGGGACGCAAACTGAGGTCGACTATGTGGGAGTCCAGCAACATAGCTATTACACTAACTGCTGGTCCCTGAAATGTTTCTTTAAATTTTTTGCTCTCCTGAAATAATCTTCTGCCTAGGGCTGGTGTGGACCATAAAACAGTGAAAAATAAATAAATAAATAAATAAATAAATAAATAAATAAATAAATAAAACCTGCAAAATTATTATTCATAAACATTTATAAAATAGGTAGCAAAATAAAAGCAATCTAATAAGATTTTTTTTCCGTGTTATTTCCTTACTAGCCATGATATATTTGTATTTTATTGTTATCAGGTGTTTCTATCCTACGGTCCCCATTTCTGAAAAACTGTTCAACTCTAAGAGAGTAAAAGCACAAATATGACACTTCATAAAAAGAATTTAGTTTATCTCAAAATATGGCCATGCACAAGAAGGATGAAGATCTTTAATAGCCTCCTATTGTTATCTTTATTTGTATTTGTGCATGCATGTCTGTATTTTTTAGATCAAATCTTGCTAAGTTGCAACTCTCCTGCCTCAACCTTCCAAGTAGAGTAGCTAGGACAACAGGTACGCACCACCTCGCCAAGCTATTTTTTTTAGGGTGAGCTGGGAATCAAACCCAAGTCTTTAATGTGGCCCCATCTTGCCAGACAACAGCATCCAGCTTGCACTACCACAGCAAGGTCCTAATTTGCATTTTTGTCTAATATATACTGCTACCAAAGTGAACCTTTAAAAACAGAAATACGATCATGACACTTAACTACTCAAACTCTTCAACAGGGATTTCCCATCAGACTTAAAATAACACCTTATCTTGGCCTGCAAGGTCCTCCATGAAATGGACTCAGGTTCACTCTCCCAAACTCTTGCCCTCACTCATTCTTCTTCACTCATGATGGCTCTTTCCTGCTCCTTTAACAAGTCAAGCAAGCCCAGGCCTCAGGCTCTTTGCACTCATACTTGCCTCTTTCTCAGTAACTTTTCCCAGATTCCACATGATTTGCATACTGATTTCCTACTTGCCTCTACCCAAATACCATGTCCTCAGAGAAACCTTCCCTAACCACCTTTAATGTAAAAATCTCAACCACATTATCATCTATCCCAAATTCATGTTTTTTTATTCATAGTACTTATCCCTTGTCTCATGCTATATATTCATGTGTGTATTTATACTTATCTGCACTCCCCATAGGAATTTAAACTCCCCAAAAGCCAAAACTTTGACTGATGTTCTGCTGGTTTTCTGATACTTGGAACAGCATCTGCTACTGTTATGGCCAGGTAGTGTTAATTATAATTCTCTTTAATGTTTTCTTTCTTTCTTTTACTCCACAGTATGCTGCAGAACAATCAGCTAAGACAGGTTCCCACAGAAGCTCTACAGAATTTGCGAAGCCTTCAATCCCTGTAAGTGTGGTTAAAATTGCAAGATGTATTTGAGATCAATTTAGAAAAGGGCATCAAAATGACCAATTAATCATTTAGTAAGTTCTTTGGTTTGGAGTCATACCTAAATAAATTGTGAGTGAGAATCCATTCAAATGATAATTATTCAGATCATTATCAAGCAACATGTATGAAAGAGACCAATGTGGGAGTTTGGGCTTTCAGAGCAGAGATTTCATTACAATACTTGCAGTCAAAAGCGATTATGTATATTGCTATCTTGAGACAGACATCTACTTCCAGGATCTTGTCCTACTTTCCTCTGTAGTACTGTTTTGTTCCTGAGTTCAAATCAGGAATAATGCTTTCCTTTTGCTTAGCAAAATGGATGTCATGATCTAGACATCTCGGCATCTTCGATTTATTCTGGTTTTAGATTAGCTGAGCTAACTTAAAATCAAATTTTGTGAGATCAAATAAAGACTTAGTTTTTTAAGTTCCGTATGTAAATTAGGGACCCTCAAAGCAGGAGAGTAAGACCCACTGGTACATTTTGAATCTGTACCACACAAGTCTACAAACCAAGAGTATCTCCATCAACACACACAGCCATACAAGCATAGTCCCAAACAGTTTCACAGATACATGCATGCCTTAGATTCATACACCACACACAAACGCACACAGCCACAGAGACATACCCAACAGTGGTATTAGTGTTTTCTATTGTGAATCTTGAACTTTTTTAAGAGTTTCCCACCCCTCACACAAACTGATTTAAAACCTCTGAATAAAGAAAAATTAGTTATTCCTCATTAAATTAAAAAAAAAAATCTTGGGACCAGCAGATGACATAATGGTTATGTTGCTGGGCTCCCACATAGTCAACCATGGTTCAAGTCCCATACCCAGCAGCTTAAAGCTCACACTGGGCACATGTACATACACGCCCAAAACTCCAAGAGAAGAATGGAGGAGAAGGGATTTGGTATGACCATCCTCCCTGGGGAAGTGATTTCTCACTCTCTCTCTCTCTATCGCTCTCTGTCTCTGCAGTGAGCTCATGTGATCTATAACAAAAATCTCTGAAGAAAAAATCATTCTTACTAGCTAGATGTTTCGGAACTTGGGTCATAAGCAATTGTTCACAGTGATTACCTGCCAAATCTATGCTATGACTATTTGTCAGCAAATCTGTCATCAGAATATATTTATAATAAATAGTTTCTGATGTGTTGCATGGTTTCCGATTGCCACATATGTTATACATGTTCTAATTTCATTTACACTGGAGGTCCTTGTTTGTCAAACATGATACTGGTTTCTGGTCTAGAATGATGACAAAAATAAGTGCATTGAAAGGGCAAATAAATAATGCAGGTTCTCGCTAAAATTCATTGTAAAGAATCCTTTGGTTAATAATTGCACATGGTTTGCTTAATGCCTTTTACTGAGGTGACATGAGAAAAGGAAGAACATGAGATTTGAAGATGATACTTTTATCCTTTGATCTTTTTTTTTTTTAATGAAAGAAAATCTGTGCTTGAGATCATTTTAAGCTTTTCACTCCAGTCAAACAAAGTGACTTCCTAGGTTTTCACCAGCCTATAGATAAACAAGCCCACAAGGGCCCCTTTGTGGCATAGGATAGGTATGCTGCATTTTCAGGAGCTCTTTAATGACATGACAGTATCACTCCTCCTTTGTTGCACAGCCTTCAGCCGAAGGAAAGAAGAAGCTGCTGTAGATGCAAAGCAGCCTCCAGTTGGCTTGTCTGGGTAAGGGCACAGGGATCTCATGGCTACATTGAAATTGAGATAATGGCAGTGGCCAGTAGGAACTTTAAACAGCTGCGAGGCAGGCAGTAGATAGATGGATAAGAGTTTCTACCAAAAGCCACTATCAGCCAAAAGAAGATCACAAACAGAACACACACAGAAGTGAACCCTTTGAGAAAGAGAAAACTATGAATCTTTTGTTCACCCGAACTGGGCGGTGCCTCTCTGATAAAGGTGTTCAGATTTAGTTTCCTACAGTCTAGATACTTACTGTTCACCAGGTGTCTCTTGCATTTGGTTTCTGGTTCACAAAAAGAATTACATTTGAAACCTTATAAATATGTGTTCCCTGTGAAAAGTCCAAGGGCTAGCTGTCTAGTGGGACACTTAGCACATATCAGAACTGAAGCATCCAGATAGATATTCAGCCCCCAGTTCACACTGGATTGTATCAGCTGGCTTATGTACCGTTTGTCAGAGGCCCATTTGCCCAGAGCACAAACAGACCAGTGTCAGGTTAAATAAATAAATAAATAAATAAATAAATAAATAAATAAATAAAACCTGCAAAATTATTATTCATAAACATTTATAAAATAGGTAGCAAAATAAAAGCAATCTAATAAGATTTTTTTTCCGTGTTATTTCCTTACTAGCCATGATATATTTGTATTTTATTGTTATCAGGTGTTTCTATCCTACGGTCCCCATTTCTGAAAAACTGTTCAACTCTAAGAGAGTAAAAGCACAAATATGACACTTCATAAAAAGAATTTAGTTTATCTCAAAATATGGCCATGCACAAGAAGGATGAAGATCTTTAATAGCCTCCTATTGTTATCTTTATTTGTATTTGTGCATGCATGTCTGTATTTTTTAGATCAAATCTTGCTAAGTTGCAACTCTCCTGCCTCAACCTTCCAAGTAGAGTAGCTAGGACAACAGGTACGCACCACCTCGCCAAGCTATTTTTTTTAGGGTGAGCTGGGAATCAAACCCAAGTCTTTAATGTGGCCCCATCTTGCCAGACAACAGCATCCAGCTTGCACTACCACAGCAAGGTCCTAATTTGCATTTTTGTCTAATATATACTGCTACCAAAGTGAACCTTTAAAAACAGAAATACGATCATGACACTTAACTACTCAAACTCTTCAACAGGGATTTCCCATCAGACTTAAAATAACACCTTATCTTGGCCTGCAAGGTCCTCCATGAAATGGACTCAGGTTCACTCTCCCAAACTCTTGCCCTCACTCATTCTTCTTCACTCATGATGGCTCTTTCCTGCTCCTTTAACAAGTCAAGCAAGCCCAGGCCTCAGGCTCTTTGCACTCATACTTGCCTCTTTCTCAGTAACTTTTCCCAGATTCCACATGATTTGCATACTGATTTCCTACTTGCCTCTACCCAAATACCATGTCCTCAGAGAAACCTTCCCTAACCACCTTTAATGTAAAAATCTCAACCACATTATCATCTATCCCAAATTCATGTTTTTTTATTCATAGTACTTATCCCTTGTCTCATGCTATATATTCATGTGTGTATTTATACTTATCTGCACTCCCCATAGGAATTTAAACTCCCCAAAAGCCAAAACTTTGACTGATGTTCTGCTGGTTTTCTGATACTTGGAACAGCATCTGCTACTGTTATGGCCAGGTAGTGTTAATTATAATTCTCTTTAATGTTTTCTTTCTTTCTTTTACTCCACAGTATGCTGCAGAACAATCAGCTAAGACAGGTTCCCACAGAAGCTCTACAGAATTTGCGAAGCCTTCAATCCCTGTAAGTGTGGTTAAAATTGCAAGATGTATTTGAGATCAATTTAGAAAAGGGCATCAAAATGACCAATTAATCATTTAGTAAGTTCTTTGGTTTGGAGTCATACCTAAATAAATTGTGAGTGAGAATCCATTCAAATGATAATTATTCAGATCATTATCAAGCAACATGTATGAAAGAGACCAATGTGGGAGTTTGGGCTTTCAGAGCAGAGATTTCATTACAATACTTGCAGTCAAAAGCGATTATGTATATTGCTATCTTGAGACAGACATCTACTTCCAGGATCTTGTCCTACTTTCCTCTGTAGTACTGTTTTGTTCCTGAGTTCAAATCAGGAATAATGCTTTCCTTTTGCTTAGCAAAATGGATGTCATGATCTAGACATCTCGGCATCTTCGATTTATTCTGGTTTTAGATTAGCTGAGCTAACTTAAAATCAAATTTTGTGAGATCAAATAAAGACTTAGTTTTTTAAGTTCCGTATGTAAATTAGGGACCCTCAAAGCAGGAGAGTAAGACCCACTGGTACATTTTGAATCTGTACCACACAAGTCTACAAACCAAGAGTATCTCCATCAACACACACAGCCATACAAGCATAGTCCCAAACAGTTTCACAGATACATGCATGCCTTAGATTCATACACCACACACAAACGCACACAGCCACAGAGACATACCCAACAGTGGTATTAGTGTTTTCTATTGTGAATCTTGAACTTTTTTAAGAGTTTCCCACCCCTCACACAAACTGATTTAAAACCTCTGAATAAAGAAAAATTAGTTATTCCTCATTAAATTAAAAAAAAAAATCTTGGGACCAGCAGATGACATAATGGTTATGTTGCTGGGCTCCCACATAGTCAACCATGGTTCAAGTCCCATACCCAGCAGCTTAAAGCTCACACTGGGCACATGTACATACACGCCCAAAACTCCAAGAGAAGAATGGAGGAGAAGGGATTTGGTATGACCATCCTCCCTGGGGAAGTGATTTCTCACTCTCTCTCTCTCTATCGCTCTCTGTCTCTGCAGTGAGCTCATGTGATCTATAACAAAAATCTCTGAAGAAAAAATCATTCTTACTAGCTAGATGTTTCGGAACTTGGGTCATAAGCAATTGTTCACAGTGATTACCTGCCAAATCTATGCTATGACTATTTGTCAGCAAATCTGTCATCAGAATATATTTATAATAAATAGTTTCTGATGTGTTGCATGGTTTCCGATTGCCACATATGTTATACATGTTCTAATTTCATTTACACTGGAGGTCCTTGTTTGTCAAACATGATACTGGTTTCTGGTCTAGAATGATGACAAAAATAAGTGCATTGAAAGGGCAAATAAATAATGCAGGTTCTCGCTAAAATTCATTGTAAAGAATCCTTTGGTTAATAATTGCACATGGTTTGCTTAATGCCTTTTACTGAGGTGACATGAGAAAAGGAA